TTCATAATAATTTAGAATTAGGTTTTAATATTTATTTTCACAAAATATCATAAAAATATTACAGTATTATTTTCTTTTATTTGCTTGATAAAAATTATAAAAAATGTTAATAACTTAATTTCTTTATCTTTATTTGATTACTTGGTTAATCTTAATTACATATTCCCTTAAGTGATTCCCCGAATCGATTAAATTCATGTTGATTGTTTCATGTTGAATTAAACATTATGATCCAAATTTCCATGATAACTTTAGGATATAATTCCCCTGTTACACTCAATATTAGGTCCATCATTGTACGATAACACTAGGGCTAGAATTAGGTTAGTCTCCCTTAGACTTTTCTTTTGCATTGCATATTCCCTAATTAAAACAAAACTTTCTCTCCTTAACAAAAAAAATCCAAAAATACTTAATCATTATTTAAACTCATTTCACACTTAACAAAACATTCAAAAAATCAAAGATCTCCTCAAAAGGGCATGTTATCTTTGTTCTATCGCGATACCGGCCCTGCCTATTGCTAGAATACGCGTGTTAACATCGCCTACTAAAAAACGCCAATAAACCAACATTTTCTAGAAGAACTACGGTGTTCTGATTCCTTCACGTGATACGTAGGCAAATGGATGCGAGACCCTCACAAACATAATAATAAAAACCATTTCATTCCCCTTAGCAAGTATAGTTATATATAGACACACCCTTAGAAGCAAACAATCAAAATGGGTCCCGCTGAGTAACGGATGTCAGGGGTGCTAATACCTTCCCCTCGCATAATCGACTTTCGTACCCTCTCTTTTAGTTGCAAGACCATCTTATCCATCCTCTTGGGGTTTTCTCGATATTTTCCCTTCCTTCGGGATAAATAAAGTTCGATGGCGACTTTGTGTTTTTTGTCGGTAGCTTCAATAACCTCATTTTATTTTTATTTCTGATTTTACTATTTTTTATAAATTTTGGTTTATTTTGCTTACTTTAAATTTTAAAAATAGTTCCTGACTTTAAAAAATTCTAAAATTTGTTATCAACTATTATTGACTCTTATTTGACCTCTGACTATTTTTTAGGATTTTTATTTGGTATTTTAATATGCTTTATGTATTTTACCAATTATTTTCCTTTTATTAACCATTTAAATATTGTTTTATTAAATATTATTTTATTATTTTTGTTTGGTCCTGACTTGAATTTCATTTGGTGACAAATTCCTCAACCTCATTGGATCTTGGGTGTTGATAGGTTGAAAAACCAAATCCACCAAAATGGATGAATGATGTTGAAGATATTTGAAACCCTAATTTCATTTAATACATCACCTCCTTCTTCATCTTATCCCTTTCTTACTTGTACTACATGTTATTGGATAATGATCTACATATCATTTCTCTAAACATATGGTACATAGATTGCTATTGACCAGCCTTAAAATAGGTGTGACTTCTACATAAGTCTACTTACGATTTCTTAATATAGTGCTAAATTTTGTCCCGATTTGAGAAATGATCATTTATGGCCCAAGCCCATGTTCGCAAGCCAACATATGTTTAATTTGAAACCTTTAATCCAATAACCTTAAGGTTCATTGTTAGGAGTCTTTGGTCTTATCAATCCTCTAATGAATCTTCATAAACTTTGGTCGAAGTGAATCACTTAAACATCATTGATCATATGTTGTTGCCTCGATAATTTGAAATGAATGATATACTTGACAAAAAGCAAATGAAACTTGTTGTTGAGAAGCTTTGATTTTATCAATCTTGTAATGAGTTTTCAAATGCAAGTTTCAAGATGGTCATTCAACTAACCTCTAATTCCTAACTAATTAACAATTGACTTTTACTTTGTGCTTTTACTTTATGCTTTTACTTTATACCTTTACTTTTATGTACCATTTATTATGGCAGTTACATTTCATGTAATTTTTATCTTTGCTCATTTGAACATTTATCTTTATGCAATTTTGATCTTTTCTCACTTGAGCTTTTCTTTTTCTTTTTGAAGATACTTAATAACCAACTTGAACAATAAAAAACTTTAAGGTTACTTGGACTATTTTGTTACTATCCTTGGCATAATGGAGTTGTGGACCTCTTGGACTAAGATTAGAAGCCTTGATGCCCTTGGGACCTTGTGACTTTGTTTGTTGTTTTGTCTGGAGTTCTTGGGGTTTACCCCAAGACATTGGGTTGATTTTCTTTGTGTGCAGGTTATCCTGATTATATGCTTTGTCTGTAATTGGGAATTCATCTGTATACATTTGTTACTCTGCCTAATTTTTTTGAATACTTAATACATCCAAAGTTTGGCATTCTTAAGAGGTTTAGTATCTTTTCTTGCTTGGTTTCAATCCAAAGGATGTGAATTCTGCATTGACTCATTGTGTCAAGTGTTGACTTCTTGTTGGTTAGACGGTTCTTTTCCCTAACTTTTAACTTATACTTTAGGGTAGTCCCTTCATCTCCTCACATCTTCTTTAATTTCAAAAATCTTCTCCCTCCTTTTCAAAACTCTTCTTGTTTTCTAACTTGAACCGCTTTCACAATAAACTTGGACTTAGGTTAAAAATATTTTCTTAATCAAACTTTAATCAACTTAATTATATTTTGACATTTTTTGTAAGAAGACTAAAATTCAATCAATCTCATTCAAATCATTTTTCCACTTTGGCTTAGTTACTTTAAAATTTTCACAAAAGATTATACTCTTGTCAATCCTTATAGAGATGCGAGCTACTATACTTCTATGATATGTAGTGAAGTGATATATTTTCCACTTGGGTGTTGAGTGAGGCTTTGTTGATTTTAAAATCCAAGATATATCCTCCACTTTGAGATGATGCAAATTCTCCTTTTTAATAATCGTGGGCAGTAAGTATGTTTTCCACTCGGAGATGATGATAATGTCTTGTCTCTTACAGTTAACCAACACACATGTGTTTTAAAGTTTTTAAAGATGAACTACGAGTACCCTGATCCTCTATTGCACTGAAGGTGGTACTTAAGCACTAAAGATTCACAACCGCGGTGGGTGCAAAAATTATAAAAAATACTTCTTTTCTCATCTTCGTTGTAGCGATAAAAAATGTAACGGGGTAAATCAGAGATCGAGCTATTAATTAACTTGATTTCAAAATCAAGAGTCGCCACCGCGTTTTATTATTTCCAAGGGAAAAGGGAAAATAGTGAAATAAAACCCTTAAATATGCAATGTAAAACAGTACTTAAAAGTAATGAAAATACAATGCGTTTTTGAAAAGAGATCTAGAGTTTGGGGATTGGTTATGCAATGGGAAGGTATTAGCACCCAATGTATCTGCGGTACTCCGCATGAACCTTTTGAAATATCTGTGTTTGTTAAAATTGTTTATTTGATTACAATGGTTTGTTTGGCTAAAAATGGTTTGTTTTGGACGATATTTGAAGATACGACGACCTAGTGCTGAAGTTTTGACTTAAAAGGGTGTGGATTTAAAAATTGATTTTTTAGGAAAATTAGCTTAAGTTTAACAAAATAGTAAAATAAAAATGAATGAAGGGATTCACGTGATCGTATAAGATGTATTTGATGACATGAAGTCAACAAAGTTGAAACATTTCCCTTGGAATTGAGACGGGCGAAAGATACAAAGATTAAACGATCAAGAATAAAGTTAATTAGAGCGACAAAAAATAATAACAAAAAATCAATAAGAGATTAATTTATAAGCATATATTTTTAAACGATTAAATAAATATAAAAAATTAGACAAAGACTAAATAACATGTATTTAAATAAACTAAAATTAAATAAAAGATAAATTAAGTGAAAAATTAATTTAATAAAAAGCATGTTTTTGTATTTTATAATGAAAGGAAATAATTATATATAATAAACTAAACTAATATTTATTATCAAATTTAATAGAATTGAAAGAAAAGGCTAAAAAGAGCAAAAGAACAGAAAAATGCCCCAGCAGGGGTTGAACTTGAGTCACCTAAGGTTATAATTGGTATGCTTTGCCAACTGTAATAGATTACTTATTCATTATATCTATGATTAAATTGATAAATAAGGGAATACGAATAGAGGAAATTGGGCCAGCATCCCAATGGACTGACCCGGTTGGCATTGAACAAAGGAAAATGTAAAACCCTAAAGGGTGAAGCAAAGGCTCCGCGAGCTGGTCTGTCTTGGGAAAGGAAATAGATTAAATATATTGTTATACTAACAAGTGAAAAAAAGTTTCATCTACCTATTTTGTATCTAACACATCCCTTAATATTGAAATAGAGATAATACAATGTAAGAAACTGAGCCCAAACATGAAAACTAAAATCTCTGAATCCCTAAAATGTGATTGCAAAGAACTAATACAAAATAGGGTAGACTTCATTTAGAAGCAAATGGACATTGATACTATATCTACATTGGAATTTGCAAATGAATTCCATTCTATATTAGATAGATCACAATGTTTCTACAATATTGTCCCCAGTAGCCATATATGCATAAGTAGCAGATAGTCGATGAGTCCTAATCTTGCTCTCAGGTGACTCGTGAGAACACTGCTACCAGATACCCATATTCCATCAATACGGTCTACAACGAACTTTCCTTGTTTTTAAAGCAAGTTCCTCATTCGTGTACACATTTGGGTATCTGATTTAATGCCGCTTAACGGGAGACATGATTTGGAATCATTCCTCATGAATAACGGTGATTATTCAGATTTCATGCTCCTAGATCTTAACAGGGCTTTCTGATTTCTCTGATGTTGCTGGCCCCTTTTGATTCGCCATTGGTGATGATTAATTGAAAGATGGAAATGGAGGTATGGAGGAGAATTATCTTCTGTTAATCGGTATCTTTTAATGTTTTTCTTTGCGGGTGGATGCTATTGGTGTTGGCCATAGTGACACTCTAGGGAATACGTGAACGGGCATGGAAACCACAGCGGTGGAAGCAATGAAGATGAGAATTATTGGCCGCGACAGCGTTAGGTTAGACGAAGAGGGATAATGTGTGAAGAGAGAGAAGGGTGGACAGAGAGGAAACAGGTTGAGAGGAAAGTTTATGTGGGTGTTAGGGGGTATCATCGGCGGCAGGCAAAGTTGAAGTTGGAGAGGTTGATTTTAAAGAACGTTGGCAGGTTGTCTGTGGTGGTAAGGTTATGGTGAGTGTTGGCTATTGAGCTTTGGGAATTTGAGTTGGCATCTGTCTGGCCAAGGAAAAGGGAGATTCAGACGGATAATGCTGAAGTTTATAACATGTTATCTTCCAAAGATGAGGCTCCGGGTCAATATTGGCAGCCGATAAGCAGAATTAGAGAGTTTCTTGCAACTCGATGAATGTCAAATGGAGCAAGATCTACAGGGAGGCAAATGTTTGTGCGAATAGACTGCCCAAATTTGGTCTTGATCATGATAGACATAAGAATGTCCATAGTATTATTACTTTTAGTAGGATGTACTACTATAGTTGCCCTCAATAGATGTTTTAGGATTATGAAAACGATGTGAGAGGTTGATGGAGTGTGGGGAGTATGTGTGATTTTGACATATATTTTATAGGATATTTGTTGGTTTTTTGAATGGTTGAGGAGGATCTTTTAATAGAGATTGGATATGAGAGTTGTGATGAGTTTAGACTGGGTTGAACAAATATAATGTATAGTTTCTGAAATTCTGGTGTATGCCAGTCTTCAGATGTTATACTCAATGTCTAGACATCTGATATGACATAATAAATACACTGCAAGGTAGATACCCAATTTTTGTGATTCAGTACTAAAGTATATCAGAAGCATAGAGGTTGCCATATCTGCAGTTCTCGAACAAATAGCTTTGGTTTGTAAACTATCCATTCATAACCTGATGTCTCAACATTGGTTGCAACATCATCTATCACATACCATGAAGCAAACAAATCCCTTAGTTCTGTTTATCATGCACACAAACCAGCAGGATATCCATTCATCTCTTTTGACATCATCTGTAACATTCACACAGTTTTATCCAAGCTGTACCAGATATACTTTGAAGGTGCAGAGGATAGACCACACGATGTACCTAGTTCTGTCCATCTGGTACACATGATCAACAGAGAGCAAACAACCTTCACAGTTCTGTTTCTCCTGCACAGATATCAGCATGATGTCTTAACATGTTCTGAGACATCATCTGTTACAACATTACAGTTTTACCTTGATATATAACAGACGGAATTATAAAGTGTTGAAGGTAAAAACACAATCAATTGTTAACCCAGTTCGGTGAAACACACCTACTCTGGGGGCATACCAAGCCAGGAAGAAGATCCACTATCAGCAATATTAATTCAGGACTAAACTTCACAAGTTCCCATCCCTCACTTAATCATTTACCCAGTGCAACCTATACCTAGGAACTCCTAGATAGAAACCTACCCGTTTCCATTCCTATTGCCGCAACAACAGAAGTCTAACTCCTACTCAAGAAGTAGTGCCCTCCCACTTGGTTTCCTACATTACGATGAATAAGAAGTAATGCAAAAATACTTAGACTTGCTTCACAGCTTCGTCCAAGAACACTCAAACTCTTACCTACAGGTATCGAGTTATACACATGGTAACCTTGCCACAGACCGACAGGTTTACCTAACAGAACACCCTCAATATTACATTCTATATCTTGCAAAACAGCAGCTCTGTTGAATATATAGCAGCTGCAACTTCAGTTAGGGTTTCCACAAAAACCTAGGGTTAATTCCGTTTGACCTAAAGACCAGGTCACAGGACTTTATTAACCAGGTTAGGGTTGAGCTAGGTTACCCCTCAGAAAACGCAGGATTCTGTTCAGGAAAGACTGAGTTATTTTCCTGAAAAAACTCAGACTTATCCAACCTGCAAACCTGTTAGTTCAGAACAGGATGTCACAACATCTGTTATGACATCTGAGAAAACCTGTCTACTGACTTAGCAAAATGTGATCATTTTGCAAAATGCTCAGATACACACTTATAAACATCAGTACTTGAATTACAATATTTTTCTGCAAAGGTACCTAATGAGTCAGTACAAACTAAACTAGAATGTTATGACATCAGTCATGACATTCACACATACACTTGGGATTTACCAAAAATGCAAGCCAATACCTAAACACTTACAAACTCCCCCTTTGGCAGATTTTTGGCTAAAGACCCTAAGCAATCAGAGATAGATAGCAGCAGAAATAAGTGACAGCAGAAAAATAGAATGTCAAGTACTAATTAAGTAAGTACCAAAATATTCTCCCCCTCTTTAGCCACAAATGGGCCAAAGATACATGTTCATAATGATTATACAGTTATCCAAAAACAATTAATAAGAGCAGCAGCAAAAAAAAAGAACTGAACACACTTCCAAACTCCACCAGATATCAGCACTGACCAGCAACACCACCAAACAGCAACCAACCTTCAAGCACTGTCATCAGATCCAGAGGATTCGGGCTTCTTTCTTTTCTTGTGAGCAATGTCAGCATTCTTCTCTTTGTTTGATGTCTCAACATTCTTAGGGACATCTGGATTTATTTCAGCATTTGAACTTTCTTGGTTCAGAGGAACAGAAATGCCAGGAACTGAGTGGTTCTCGTTCAGAATTCTTGAAACAATTTTTGCTATTGCTTGATTAACATAGGTTGTCCCTTCCCTATTTGCAATTTCAGGGGGAACTGAAGAAGAAGGATGAGATGGATTTCCAGAGGCAGAAGCTTGGGGCTTTCCTGCATGTCTTGTTCTCAACTCTTTGACCTTGGTGGGGTTAGTTCCCACTTTTCAGAGTCCAGACAAGAAGAGATTGTCCTAGAATCTTGATCAGAGGAAGAGGTTGAAATAGTCGTATTGGATGATGATGGTGTTTGAGACATTTTGACAGTCCTAGAGGACCAACAGCAACTGAGGAGAAAATTCTGATTGAGAGACTGGGTTTATTAATAATAATCCACACTTCATCCAATTTTCCTCCTGTCTGTAGTTTTAGAGGAAATTAGGAACAATGTCATTAGGCAATGTGATGACATTCGGTCAGACATAGTCCTCTTCAGTCTTGAACACATCATCCCAATAGTTAATAAAGTGCCACACTTTATATCCTACGAGTTTGATGAAGACTTTTCGTACAAACCAATACTCCCCCTGTTAGGGACAATCACTTCTCCTCATGGAAACAAGTAGGTCACATTCAATACTCAGTTGGACCTTCAAGACAACTTCTGATTCAAAGTAAATAAGACCCCTTGATGAATGGAAAACATAAGACGCATCTTCATGTCTTCAAGAGCGCACCCTCTGTTCAACAATATTGGTTGAACGCATTCATACTCTGAATCAAACTTTCTCGATAATAATCAGCTGCCACATGTTGATTATCTTGATTCTCTGAATCCACTGCTGAGATAGACCAAATGCCACTGTTTGATTATCTCCTTCATGAATCCTCATATAAAAAAAATCAAATGCCACCTTTTGACTTCTCCATGTTTATCAGACTTCTCCCAAAGATATTCTGATCTTCCAATTGAAATTTGAACTTCAAGCTACAAGTTATCACAAAAGGCTTAGATACACTAAGACAGGAACATGTAACATCTTCTCCACCCAACAACTCCAAAGAGCTGCAAAGAGACGATCTTTTTGAAGTATCCAATCTTCAACTTCGTAGATCATCCTATCTTAAGTTGATGTGCCACTTCACCAACCAAGAATCTGATGTTGAACCAAATGTCACAACATTATGTTATAACATCTAGTTGTTGAATTCAGCTCCTTCTCTAATTTACTTCCTTACCTAGATCAGAACCAGACTGATCCAAGTAACCATCATCAAGATTATGATGTCTTCTTCTTCTTGTAGCTTCAAGTCTGAACATGTTTCCAGGAAACCTTTTCAAGGATCAAATGATTTTGCTGTCACCAAAGAGATAGCTCTAAAGCATCACTCTTCCTGTGATTCTTCACAGGGTCTAGAAGAAGGAATGTTCCCACATCTTTAAGAACATCAGTTATCTTGAACTCCAAGGATAATCAATTAAATACTTGTACTTGTCACAAATAGCAATTGATCATAAATCCTTCCCATTATCCTGTAAGATACTTTCACCATTTGAATACTTTGACATACTCTTCGTGTGTTAATATCTTCTTCTTGCAAGCACTTTCTTTGAGAGACCAAAGAGTTGAGATATCTAGGTTTCCACCCTTGACTCAAGTAAATAGAATTTTCTCTGAACAAACTCTACTCACCTCAACAGATTTGAAACTCCTACCAGATCAGATTCATCCTTAGGAATGAGAGAGATGAATCCTTCCTTGCAAATATGTCACACAACACCCAGAACCCATGTGACATAGGTCAACAGCCAGCTAAACACCAAGCTGAACTAATGTGAGGAGGTTAACCAAATCTCCCCCTCAAACTACCAATCATGGAAGCTCCACACAAAATATCCATGCATTGTACACAAATGTCTCGACATGACATATGACATCCCTACCAGATTCAAGTAACTCCAAGAGTTATACCTGTTCATACTCCAATCACACCAATTAGACTTCAGCTGACCTTAAGTACTTCAGAGAAGACAACAACACCAATCATCAGCAGATATGTATTGCCAGAACATACTACCTTAACCAAATTCTGAGTCTTCATATTCTCACATCTTGAAAGATCTTCCACTTCTAATCATGATGTTTAAATGACAAGATTCATGATCCCAATCTACTTCTTATGAAGAAGCAATAATGCTGCACCATCATTGACTTTTATTAACCAATGAGCTTGTCTTTCTTCACACCATAGTACTCCAGGGAACAACTGCTCAGCCCTGATCAATTTCACATCTCAACCAGCTTCACTTCTAGAGTTCTGACTCCTAAAAGTAACCTTCGGGAGCATACAGACATAGTTGACTCTACCATTGTCAACTTTGCACACACAGATGTCTCCTCTTCCAGGTCAGGAGTAGGTTCCAAACAAAAGTATCCCTTTGTTTGACACCCAAAACATATGCTCTTCAACTAGTAGCTGCATACTTGTTCCACCATCACATAGAACATCAGTTCCATTACCTTGGAACAAGGCCCTCCTTGAAGTTCTTCAAGGTCTTCGTATAACACTAATCCGTGATTATGTGATTCTTACCATCCTGAACGAAGAACGTCTTCATGAGTGGACTTGAGAGGACTCAAGTATCTGTGACATCTTCAATAGCTTATGTTGAATTCTTGAATACAGTAGCCTTCAATCCACAAGAGGGGAAACACATCAGAGCTTGAGTTTTGCCAAGTATTACACAGCGGAAGAACATAATACAACTCAATCTTTGCA